CTCTCCCCTAGCTGTTATTGGAAGGATAGTGGAATTGGTGATTTTGGCTTGTTATAGAAACCTTACTTAAAAGTAAAATAAAACCACATCCAGTGTGGAATAATTTAGCCATTTCTCAAAAGAGTGTTTTTCAATAATATATATATTGAAAATAATAACATATATATTTTAAGAATAAACAAATAAAAATCAAGTGTCATAAGCAAATAACTATCTTTTGAAAATATCTTGGATATATCAATAACATAATATATATATATATTGAAAATAATAACATATATATTTTAAAAATAAACAAATAAAAATCTAATTAAATATAATGTTTATTTCATCACCATGTTTTGTAGATGGTTTTTTTTTTTTTTTCGAATGGTAAAGATGAAATAGCATATATATAAAAGAAAGTTACAGCCCAAAAGTTAGCCCAATGCTAACCAGATACAGCACCAACTTATAACCGGCCCAGGGCCCAAAGATACAAGTCAAACAAATTACAAGACCGTTACTGGTCATCCATTCCGGTAAACATGGAGAAATCTCTAACAACTGCAACCTCAATTGCAGAGCTAAATGTGAGGGTCCGGTGGTTCCGCCGGTGGTCGGATGTGTGACTCAGGTATGTTACATTCTGCTGCGATTCTTTTTAAATTCATCAAATTTTCTTACAACAATCAAGTACAAAACAACTTATCAACTTGGATGTCACTAATATGTAGCACGCGACTCTCTTTAATTTCGTCAAATTTTGTTGTTACTGTCTCTAAATTTTTTTCAGTGCATCTACCTCTTTCTGAAGCATTATGAGCTCTTCATCTAGTTCAACAATGGCAAGATCATCTGTTGCGGCACTTAATGCCTTCTTAGCTGTTGACACATTTTTAATCTCCGCTTCCATTACCCCTGCATCATTCCCATCATTAGGTCCACCAGCCAAGGACGATTCTCAAATCATGTTACACATTCATTAATCACACTTCAAATACCCAAAAATAAAATAATAATTTTTTTTCAAATACAACCAAATACAGAACAACTTACAGATTATGTACAAAAAATAAATGCATTATCAATAATTTCGGAGTAAGTGCATATGCAGACACGGCGTTAAGGCCATGACCAAATCCATGAATTACTAGAATTAATCAAGTGGGCATGATGTTAAATCTGTGGTAAGAATTTTATTGGGCCGGCCCAGCCATATGTGATCCAAAATTTCAGATGAGTCCTGCCCCAACTGCAGCTTTAAGAGCTTAAACATCATATCAATTGAACCTCGAGGGAATAATTTTTTACTGTCGTGGAGGTCGGGGGTTCGAATCCTCTTGACAGCTGAAAGTTCAAATCACTTTGGCCCTTAAACAATTTTATTGGTAATTGTCCAGTGCATAAGGGATGAGGGCATGTAGGACCCTGGTGGTGAATTATGGCCAAGATGTAAATAGCATCAAATTAACCTTGTTTAATATTGATAAAAAGAACGTAAACAAATACAAAAAATATTATATTTGAGAAAGAGAGGATTTGCTCGTATATATCATGATCAAACGTACCCGAACTTATCTTTTTGTCAATGTCCATGCAAGAACTCATACTAACAATTAATTTAACCAAATGAGTTATGGTCTATTTGGATGTCCCACGATAATGAAACAAATCTGTGTTGTTTAGCATTTGAAGTTGGTATAATTATATTTTGAAACTTGAAGTTGGTATACATGAGTCACTCAAAACCATTAAAGAAATTAGCTAGAGATAATTGAAAAATGGTGATTTGAATTCTGTCAAAAACTGTAATTCTTTCTAAAATAGTTATCAAAAAGAATTTCTGAATAAATAAGTAGGAAATCATAAGATAGTTTCTATATATGGTATTTTATCCATTTAGCATGATGAGATTATATACAAATTATGACACCCATAAAAATAAAAGTAGAAGTCAAATTGCCAAACAAAAGTAACAAGCTTGGACCCTAACAAACAACATTAAATGTAGGTAACCAAGAACAAAACTCTTTCCTCATCTTTTAATATATATATATATATATATATATATATATATAATCGTTGGCAGGTCAAACAAATCTAGAAATACGTATAAATGCGCAGGAGAAGAAATATATATATATAATCGTTGGCAGGGCAAACAAATTTAGAAATACGTATAAATGTGCAGGAAAAGAAATATATATATATAATCGTTGGCAGGTCAAACAAATCTAGAAATACGTATAAATGTGCAGGAGAAGAAATATATATATATAATCGTTGGCAGGTCAAACAAATCTAGAAATACGTATAAATGTGCAGGAGAAGAAATATATATATATATATAAATGCGCATGGACTTGGGCGCGCACACAAAGAGCAGGGGCTGACCTCTTCAAGTTGGATGAGTAAGGTTGACGCACCCTGAAGTAATGTTGCATGGTTTGCTTCAGAACATGCCAGGTCAAAAAAAAAAACACACACACAGTTTCTGGCATTAAAGTTAGCATGCTTTTACGATAAGCAATCTTTCTCTCTATTACACACAACACAAACACACGAACTTTAATAAGAATAAATTAGCTACATCACGCCTAGCTAAATTCACTTGACAGAGTTCATTACCATTCTTCTCCTCTGTACTCTTTTATTTCCTCTTTCGAATTCTTTTCCCTTTAATCACAAGTCTCTCACAATTAATAATGAATAAATCTTTCCAATACTGATAGCCAAAAATTAAATATATAGAGCTAAAACTATCACAATTATTGTAAATGGAAAAAGTATGGGCTAACAAGAGTAAGATAGATCACAAGTCATGATCATTGACCGGACATAACTGAATAAGGGCATATAACAAAATTTGATCCAAATTCTATTTATATTACTAACTAAAATTTTTATTAACAAGTTTTTTTTTTTTTTTTTCGATTGCTTTAAGATTTTCAAGTATTGCCTAAAGACATACTCCGTATTAACCAAAACATGTTGAAAAAGTGTTTTATAATATTGGGTTAATTACAACGATACCCCCTGAGGTTTGATGTATTGACAGTCATATACAACTTATCTATTTTTTGGACGATGACACCTCCTTAAATTTGATAAAGTTAACAAAGACACCCCTAAGGGTCCAAACATGCCTTTAGAAGATGTGAAAAGACGAGAGTGCCCTTAATATTCAATTCATTTTAACCATAAAATATTAAACATTTTAAAAAGACTAAAACACCCTTATATAATATCTGTTGCACAACCCCAACCACCCCACCCTCCATCACCTTCTTCTGTCTCTTCATCCTCCACACCACTATAACAAAGCTCCACAACAGCCACCATTGCTCTCTATTGTCCACCACCATGGCCGCAAACCCCATATTCTCTCTCTCTTTCTACAAATCACAAACCCTAATTTTCACTATATATATATACACACATACATATATTATGTATTTTGGGGATCCGACCACTGTTGCCACCATTTCTCCGAGCTTCCTTGAATTGATCAACCTTCTTCTCTAACTTATAACAATTTAGGGGCATCTTTTTCACCAAAATACGTCGATTTCGAACCCTAGGGTTTGTGGAATTTTGTGAATCAATTTGGACTGATTTGATCTTTATCGGACGGTAGAACTTGGGGTTTTTGCGGTGGCGACCCACCCCTCTTCTTCTTCTTCTTCAACGACCCCAAAGACCCACCGCTCTTCTTGTTTAACCACTTCTTCTTCTTCGTCAACGAAAACTGTAACTACCGGCCAGAAACAGAAGACGGCAACCACTAACCAACGAACCAAGTGGCACGAAGCTAGAAACACCTGCGCCGATGTATGAAGTAAGAAAACGATCGGTGATGAAGCTAGGGACACAACACAGGGCGACGACAGCAAGGAAACTCCGGCAATAGCAAAGAATGAGGTCGCGGCACGAAGAAACAAATCGAAAATTTCACGATCTGACAGACAACTCGTCGATGATGAAGACGCCAACACACAGAGACGTCTTCAACTACTGTACTGTCCCCCCGATTACGATCCTCCAAATTGGGTCGCAAGAAAAAAATACAACCCCGAATCAAAAATATATATCAAGGGCTGGGCAAACCCAAATCACAATCACTTTCACAGACGGTAATCGATTTCTGTTAATCTTTTACACCCCCAGTGATGGCGCCGACGAAGCACAGAGACCACCAATCAACACCAAGCACAGGCGGCAGCTTTGTCCTCTCTCTTTTTCGTCGACATCAATTTGGACTAATTTGATCTTTAATGTATCTCGCAATAGCATTTTCCTATGGGCAATAGTGTATATATATAAGGGCAAATTTGACTTTTTATGAGTTCTGATATTTTACAATAAAAATGAATTAATATTGAAGGGCAATATTGTTTTTTCGAATGTTTTAAGGGTTTGTTTGAATTACAATTATCACAGGGGGTGTCTTTGTCCAAAAAATAACTAAGTTGTATATGACTGTCAATACATCAAACCTCAGGGGGTGTCGTTGTAATTAACCCTAATATACTACAAGAAAGTATACAATTTTACACGTTGTATTATCGTCCAATCAGGAAAGGAACAGAATTTTTTGGTGCAATTTTAATGTACATTTGTAAGAAATATATTTGAATTTTTAATACTTTAAAAAGGATCACAAGTATTTCTTTCTTAAACCACCTTCAATTACCATGAATAGCTAACTATAAATTGAAATTTCGAAAAAAAAAAAATTAGAAGGCCAACTTTAATTTTTCAATACAAAATCATCGTTAATAACTATATACATTTACCATTAATATATATATATATATTTAGTGAGATTCATCATCCTATTTGCATAAATTAAATTCTGTAACTACTGAAGTCCGTTATTAAATCATTATTCTATATGGTAGTATATGAGAATGTAATATATATATTTGCATGTCAATACAATGGAGAATTATGAAAATTCTTAATATATATACAAAACGTCATGTGATGAACTCACCACCTCTCTCGTATAAATTAAATTAAATTTGATAAGCGCAGCAATTCGGTCCTATAGCACAATTACATGAGTAATGGTTGTAAATGCCAAATATATTTCTTTATTTTCTCCCACGTAATTGGATTTTGTTTGAGTAAATTTACTTCTCTACATTTTACCTAGCTATAACCATGAAAACACAATCCAGGAGGCCGTTAAAATTTCGAAATATGGATCAACGTTCAAATATAAACTCCATTTTTGGGAAACTAATATCTCAAATGCCACTTTTTATATACACTCCATAAGCTGAGGATAACCAAACGGCGGGTGGTGAGATAACGGCGGAAGGAGAGGAACGGTATAGCTACTAGTGTTGACATGCCGTCCAATCAGACAGCGTTAACGGAATCCTTTCCTTCTTCAACGGCTTCTGCTCCGCCTCGGCTTCAACGTCTCTCTGTCTTTTCCGGCCGCCGTCCACGGCGGCAGTTGTGTCATACGACTTCCCGACCTCGAGTGGAAAGTTGACAATAGCTTTGCTTCCACGCATCTTGAATGCGGCTCTGTCGTAAGCTTTGGCAGCTTCAATGGCGGTGTCGAATGTCCCGAGCCAAACTCTGGACCCGTGACGGTTCGGATCTCGGATCTCCGCCGCGAACTTGCCCCACGGCCTTCGACGGACACCTCTGTAATGTAACCTTTCCTCTGTATTCAAAGCTTTCTTTACAGACACAACTCTCGATGGCTGAGTCGACTCAGCGAATTCCAAAACCTCAAATTTCTTCACCGGAGCCAAATCGATCTTCAACGAAGGCATGGGATCGTTGAATCTCAACTCAGAATTCGATTCAAAGTCCAAAATTTTCGACTTTGGACTCGTGAGATCGATTATTTGGGGTTTTGATTCGAATTCAAAGAAATCATTTTCAATTTGCTCGAAAGTGAACGAATAGGGAATAAAATCGAATAAATCACTGGTACTCACTTCGTCACAGCCTGAGGTCTGTGAACAGAGTGATTCAGATGCAGAGCTCAAAAGATCAAAATTTGCGCTACTGGTGATAGAATCGATTGAGTCGGAGACGAAGCTCGAACTGTCGATGGAAGAGAATTCACCGAGGAGGTGTTGTCTGATGAGCTCGAGAGCTGAGATTTCGTCTAGTGTCGACATTGTCAAAGTTCTCAAAGTTTTAGATCACAAATGTAGAGAGAGAGAGAAAGAGCAGAGTAAGAAGATGTAAACTGAAGCTGAATTGTTTGCAAATCTAGAGGGAGAAAGTAGATGAAGAAATCAAGAGAGAGAATTTGAAACGGGAGAGCTCTGGTAGTGGAAGAATGAGTAGGAATGTAATGTATATAATCACTATATAGAGAGAGAGAGAGAGAGAGAGAGAGAGAGAGAGAGCGGACGTACGAAAGTAGAAAGAAACATCGTCAACCTTGAGATTTGGATATTTGAAGACAAAAATTATAGATGGTTGGCATTCAAAGGTAACTTTACTATTCGTCAGGTTCTGTTTCTAGATGTAAATAAAGTATAACGTTGATGCTTCATCTAGAAACCTATTTCGTGGATACTTCCAAACAGTGCACGTTTGGATAAAATCATTTTAGTAGTATTATTTGAAAATAAAAAATAATAATAAAAAATTTAGGAGTATTGTATTATTGAGGTCACTATGATACCTTGTGTGTGCAAAATTTTGTTTTTTCATATAAAAAAATGAGTAATGTCAAAAAGAAAAAAAAAAAATATATATATATATATATATATAATTAAAGTGAGTTTCACGTAATCAATTTTTTTTCATTTTGATATTTTTTTGTTCGCGTAATCAAATTAATAAGTTGTGAAATTTAATGACTCGATCGTATTGATTATCAATACGAATTAGAATTGGTATTCTAATTTTTTTTAGTTTTAAATTTTATAGTTTAAATAGTTCCATAGATTTCATAGAGGATTATCATTGATTTTAGAAACTATTCCATACATGCACCGATAAAAAAAAATAGTAAGAACTTCCTAAAATTTCGACTGTCATTATAAATGGTTGTAAAAAGGGACTTCAAGAAATTAAAGCATAGTAGGATCAGTTTGGCAATCACAATTATTTTATACTTTTACTTTGATTTAAAGTAGAAACAATGTTTTCGATTTAGGGCATGTTCAATACTATTTCGAAATTTGTTTGGTAACGTGAGAGCATATTTGGTAAAAAGTGTTGTAAGTTTAAAATTTTGAATGGTTAGTTAAAAATGTTAATTTAGAATAGTTTTTTTTTTTTTTTTTTTTTTTTTAAATTAACAATGTTTTGCTGTGCAGGAGTAAACAAAAATATCATTTTGATGCTTTTGATTTTGGCTTCAATTTTGGAAGCGCTTCGGTATTATTCAACTGACAGCAAGCGAGACCAAACATGGGACCAAACATGTTTCGTGCTTTTATTTTACTACAGTATACTAGTAAGAGCAAAAAACATGAAGCAAAAGTAATAAGTATTAGCCGAACAGGCTCCAAGTTAGCAATCGATTCCTCACTGAAATAAGTGTTAACCCTACTGAAATTTTTCTTGGGTGCCAGACTCTTGTAAAGATCAACATCGCTCTTATGCATTTAATTTATTTAGCAGAAGCTGGTTTTTTTTTTTTTTTTTTTTTTTTTTTATCTCTAACAAATTAGGGGGCTCGAAACACAGACACGCTTGCTCAAAGGAGAGCTAAACACTCAACCAAGTAGGGTTGACAATTCGTGTTCATAGCTAATAAACGTGTTATGTCAATATAAAGATATTTCACTAAATAGCTTAATCCAAATACAACCTATTTAATATTCGTATCAAGAATCTTTAACACTAACCCGACTTTTTTGTTATAATACTCAATTAAACAATAAATATTAAAAAAATATAAGTTTCAATCCAACCAAATTACTAAATAATCTATAATATATAAAAGAGTAAATCATAAAACATAAATTTAGATAATTATTTTAAAACTTAAATATAAATTTATTTATAATATATATAATTAAATAAATTACACAAATTAAATCATCTCCACTCAAGTACGGCATAATTAATTAAAAAAATAATCATATAAAGTCAAACGTCAGGACAACCGTCGAAATGGTCTATCATTAAAGTGCCCACAAGTGTTACGAATTTGACAACATAACACGCAAGACTTAGCTAATTTGGCCCAGTCAAGCCCAAAATAGATACCACATCAATGTCAACATAGAAATGACGAAATTAATGAAAGTAACAACTCTCCAGACGGAGAAAACAAAAAAATAATAAGTAACAAACAACACTAAATTTTCCAAAATAACTCTTTCTTCATCTGTTACATTGGCCGCAAAGTTGGACAAATCACCAAATATACAAGTACACATGTACTTACCTATAGACATCAAGGATTGAACATGGGTAGCTATTTATGTTTGGTATTTATTATTTATTTAAATATATTTAGGAGAAAAGCAAATTTGTTAATTTCTGTTTTATTTATACCTCTAGGCTAAATTTATAAACACCAAAATGTCATTTATGTTATTTGTGTTTAGCTTTTTACCGTAGCAGATGCTTCTTTGCCTGTTATTCCAGTTCGGGTTTGCCGTTCGCAAGTTTATACATATTTGTTTTGTTTATTGTGTTGGATTTTTAAAAAGTAATTTAAGGTTGACAAACATATTTTTTTTGTTTATTGTTTTTAAAGTCAGTTGAACATTTTTCTATTATCAAATAATGTATCTGTTTATTAATAAACAAAAGTTACACATAAACACTGATTATGTTTGTGCATAAGCGATAAACAATAAACAAAAATTATTACCAAATGGAGCCATGATTAATCATGGCTGCAAAATTTAATAAAACTTTATTAAATTAAATATAAAATTGAAAATGCAACACCGATATTTTAAAAATATAATATTTTCAATTTAATGTTGTATTTTTCATTTGATGATGTTACATTATGAATTTAATTGTGTTACATTTTTAATTAATCATGTTACATTCTCAATTTAATTATGCTAGATGTTTGATTTAATTTGTATATAACATAGTACACAAAAATAATAATAATAATAATAATAATAATAACAATATAAATCGATTCCAGAAAAAAGAGTTGAATAAGTCACGAAATCGATGACTGAGTTATTAATGAAAGCGAAAGAAGTCAACCGAGCTCATTCAAAATAAAAAAAAAATAAAAAAATTGTTAGAATGAAGCTGAGTTGTCATATCGTATTTAATGCATTTATAGAACTGATCCATTCAATTTGTACCACTCAGGATTGTGATTGATGGACTCTGAAGTAATGGTGGTATAATTCAGATGGCCACGTGGACCGATGCATACACACATCTAGAATCAATTTAATAGAATTAGAGGTTATGAAGAACTTGTTACCTTAATATTCCACATAAGTAATTTTTTTAGTACGCTTCTTGTGGTCGGACAATGGAACTCAACTTTTTACAGATATGGAAGAACACGATGCTATGGAGAAATCAATTATTAAGATTTTGGAAGTATGGTGCGGGTTGATTTTTCACTTGTTATCGAGTCAAGTGAGTTGCAGCTTGTAAATTCAATTCAAAATATTCAGTAGATTTTTGGAGTTACGTCACTCTAGCGACACCGCAATCCTTTGTCAAACACATTTTATTTGTAATATAAATTTATGGTAATCTGACCAATATCCTTTTTATTAAGAAATGCAACTTAAATGATAAATAAATTTAGCTTGTTTTTGTTTCTGGAGGCATAACGACCGTTGGTAGGAATTTGGGAAATAAATTATTGAAGCCTCAGTTTTTAATCGCACTTCTGATTTTAATAGTACGTATATTGTGGAGTCTATACACCTATTCCAAAAGGAAAAAAAAAATTGGAAATTTGTGTGGGATTTTTTTTTTGTAATATAGTACGTAATTATAAACAATACTACGTATATAGAGTATGGTCAACAGTTGAATCCATATTCGGCTGCTGGCCACCTTTTTGTCGGCCGTCGGGTATGGCCCAACAAGTTCAATGTACATCCTCTCCCTTATTTAACACTGTACTTAATAAGAAAGGGTGGAAAAAAAGAAAAAAAAAAAAAAAAAAAACAACAACAACAACAAAAAATATAAATGATGCAATTAAATAAGCAACATATCACTCACAAACACAAACCAAAAAATATATATATAAAACAAATAATATAGTAATGCAAGACTAATTAAAGTTTTTAACTAAAAAAAAAAAGACTAATTAAAGCTTCGTTCTATTAAAATTCATATAGTTATAAATCAAAGGGTGGAGTCAGTAATTTGATTTCCGTAACATAAATAATATAATAACCTTTTTTTAATTTTTTCTAAATTACATGACAATTAACGGTGCAACAAGACAGTAAATAAAAAAATAGAGGTACAATAATCATGATTCTTATTTTTTTTTTCGTCCAAAAAACTATTGTAAGGAAAAATAAAAAAAATATAGAATACAAACATTATAAGATGGCAGTAATAAAATTAAAGTTTTAAAAAGAGATAAACGAAGAAGAAAAAGAAGATAAAAAGTAAAAGAAAAATGAGAGATTTTGAAGGAGAAAAAAAAAGAAAAAGATTTGATTGAAAAGGGGGGAATATACATTTCTTTTGAAAGGAATTAATAAAGGAAATTAAAAGAAGAAAAAGGAGTAAAAGCGACAAAAAAAAAAAAAAAAGAAAAGAAAAAAAGAAAAGAAAAGAAATTTTAGGCGGCTTAAAATTTACATATATATATATATAATGCATAAATGTAAAAATTTATAATTTGTACTTCTGTTATGAGACTTAATTGGCTCCATGCTTGATAAGTCATTCATATATGTATTCATTCGTACGAAATACATACTTTTCAATACATGCAATACCTATTAAAGCCCCGGTAGCCCAGCAAACCAAAGCTGATCGACCTAATTATTCAGCACCGAGGCAAACCGCATACAACTACAAGGGTTTGAATACTGAAACCCTAACATGAATTATGAATCACCCTCTTGAGTGAGCTTTTACAAGACCTGAACAAGAACATTCGGAATTGGACCAGGAGATGATGATAAAGACTTGAAGAGTCAGATTAGAATGAAAAAATCCTAAAATTATCTTGCAAGTGCTCAAATTTAGATTGTAGATACATCTATATACATTTATATATATGAATAATGAATTTGTATATGAAATTGTACATATTAAATCTATATTTCAAATATAAATATAGATTTGCATACTTTAAGTTTCAGTTACTTTCAATTTGGGATTTTTTCGTTTTTTTTTTGGGAGAATTGAAACTTAGGCTTTCAAATCTCGGAGTGTTATGTTGTGTGTAAACTGTGTAGTTATATCTTTAAAATTTCATTTTCTCATTAAAATTTATTTTTGTAGCGGCCATTTTTGTGTCATTGCAACTTCGAAGAGTGTCCAGAGACATTAATTTTCTTATTATGCTGATAAGGTGATACCCAGAGCAGGCCCTCCTCTTTCTTCCATTTCTGACCCAGTTCTTCCCACCGAGAAAGAAGAACCCATTTCCCAAATTTCTTCAGACGTGGAAACTCAATCCTAATTTTTTTCATTTTATGACCCAGTTCTTCCCACTGACAAGGTAGGAATTTTCTGACCCCAAGATGAAAAATTTCTAATCTTTAGCCCGCCCCACTTTAGAATCTCAGCTCCGCCCCTATTAAAGGAAAATGGATCATTGCTGCTTGTACTCGTAAGAATCCATGCAATACATATTCAAAATATATACATTTCATTTTTTGGAAAATCAATATCTCAAAGACTCTCTTTATACACTCCACAAATCACACACTCATATGACCATAATCTGAGAGTAACCAAACGGCGGGTGGGGAGATAACGGCGATAAGGGAGGAAATGTAAAGCTACCGTTTACGTTTTGATCCCAATCGGCCGTCCAACAAGACGGCGTTAACGGATTACTATTGTCAGATTCCGGCAACCGTTCCTTCTTCAACGGCTTCTGCTCCGCCTCCACTTCCACGTCTCTCTGTCTTTTCCGGTCGCCGTCCACGGCGGCGATTGTGTCAGACGACTTCCCGACCTCGAGCGGAAAGTTGACAATAGCTTTGCTTCCACGCATCTTGAATGCGGCTCTGTCGTAAGCTTTGGCGGCTTCAATGGCGGTGTCGAATGTCCCGAGCCAAACCCTGGATCCGCGACGGTTCGGATCTCGGATCTCCGCCGCGAACTTGCCCCACGGCCTTCGTCGGACTCCTCTGTAATGTAACCTCTCCTCTGTGCTCATAGGTTTCTTTACAGACACCACTGACGATAGCTGAGTCGACTCGGTGAGTTCCAAAACCTCAATTTTCTTCACCGGAGGCACATCGATCTTCAACGGCGGCCTGCGAAGGTTGAACCTCGAGTGCCAATTCGATTCAAGTTCCACATTTTGCGACTTTGGATTCGTGAGATCCATTATTTGAGGTTTCGATTCGAATTCAAAAAAATCGTTTTGAATTTGCTCAAAAGTGAACGAATTGGGAATAAAATCGGATAGATCAGTGGTGTTAACTTCGTCACAGCTTGAGGTCTGTGAACAGAGTGATTCAGATACAGAGCTCGAAAGATCAAAATTAGCACTATTGGTGCAATCCTGATAAGAGAATATCGGGCTAGAGTCGATTGAATCGGAGACGAAGCTCGGACTCTCAACCGGAGAGAATTCATCGAGGAGGCATTGTCTGATGAATTCCAGAGCTGAGATTTCGTCAGGTGTCGCCATTATCAAAGTTCTCCAAGTTTTCGATAACAAATGTAGAGAGAGAAAGAGTAGAGTAAGCTGTAGACTGAAGCTGAATTGTTCCTAAAGAGAGAGAGAAATCAGTTGAAGTAATCTAGAGAGAGAGTTTGAAACTGGAGGTCTGAGAGTGGAAGAAAGATTAGAAACGTATTTATAGAGAGAGAGTGGAAGTACGAAAAGAGAGAGAAACTTCCTCCCAGGGCAAAGCTAGTAGATGAGGTGTAGATTTTAATTACCACCGTCTGATCATCCTTGAGATTTGTAAATCTGAAGTCAAAATTTCAGATGATTGGCATTCAAAAGAACTTTATTTGTCACGCTGTGTTTGTCGATTTAAATAATCGATACTGTTGATGTACAATGTATTTTGAAGATACTTCCAAACAGTGCGCATTAGTATAAAAATGATAATAGTATTATATATACATGTCACCATTGTATACAGGGAATCACTTTTGTTTTTATAAAAAAAAAATGAGTAATGTTGAAAAGGTCAAAAATTATTCATAGAAAAATCTAAAGTGAGTTTCACTAAAATCATATTGAAAAAGTATATTTGTGTAGAATTGATATTTAAAATTTTTTTTCTTTCTTTCAATTTTATGTTGCTAAGCATTTGGAGGAGGTATCAATCACTGATGGTCATTTCGGTACAAAACAATGGCAGTGTCAAGGGATGAAAGAGTTGGTTAAGGTTCCACTTATAAGGAGAAGTTTGCACGTCTTGAATTTAAACTCCTTCGATTTGTGACATTATAACTTAGTTACGTATCTGGAAAATATTTAAGTACTATTGTATTAGGTAACATGCACCAAAAAAGAGTAAAACTTTGCCAAAATTTGATTTTATTTTGAATAATTATGAACATGAAGTTCTCTTTCATTGTAAAAGAGTAGAGTTTTTAATTCAAAAATTAAAAAAAAATTAAAGTAAATGATAGTTCGTATATTATGTATTTTATCCATTTAACACTATAAAAGCATCAGTGAAATTGGAAGATGCTGGTATGTATTTAGAAGTTAGAAGCCAAAGAAGTCTCTCACTTTAATGCTCGTATACTTTTCCACAAGTTACCATCCGAGACTCAGCTGATTTGGCCTAGTCAAGCTCAAAATGTGACGACCCCATAAACATCAACATGGAAGTCAAATTGGCCAAATTAAACAAACATTAAATTAAACGTCCAAACACAACTCTTCATTCAATTCGAATATTATTTGCAAAGTCGGACGAATCTACTAATGTATAAAATACCCTTTCCACGCAAGCGCGTGCACAAAAATATAAAAATGCAAAATAATTACGAAGTGCTTCAAGGTGTTACGTCCTTAATATAATAATAATATAATAATATTATATATTTGATTTAATGTTGTTGTACTCTAATGGCCCAGTCGACCACTCAAAATACGTACCAAGTCACCCTTAAACAGTTAAACTATAGTTCAGGTTTCCTTTTCTCAAGTTTTTGCAAATCAGAACAAGAATTAGAATGGACCAATGCAATTCAAACTATTACTCAAATCACTTACACATAATTATTCATACATCTAAATTCAAAGTATAAACAAAGAGTAAAGATATATATATATTTTTTACAGAGAAGTATCTCACACTTTAAGGGTGTAACTAATTCATCTTAGGATAATAAAGAGTAATGATATGGTATCCTATAATTGGACAAATCCAATTAATTTTATGTGAGTTAAAACTGATGTTATTGTGACCTCATCAATATTAATAATGGCTTAAATCATAAAACTCCTAATATTATCATTTTTTTATCATTAAATCGCAACTTATTTGTAAAAATCTTAATAGTATTACAAAGTTATCTTATTACTCCAATTCTGTCAATGAACCGCTTGTTCAATAACTAAAGTACCTTATGATATACCACTTTATTTTTTTTTTTTTTTAAATTATATTTTATAAATTACAACATTATCATCTTGCATGAAACAAATAAAAATAAAAAGACTAGGGCTAAAATTATAAAATCCCCACTACTTTAAATTTTTTATCATAAAACTTCAATCTGTTTCTAAAAACCCCCCAATACTATTACAAAGTTATCACATTACCCCAATTATGTTAGTTTGGGCGTTAAAGTACTCACTTGCATTGACAAAATATTTTTAGTGACAAAATCACCCTTGGAAAAACATGTAACAACCATGTGTTGTTACACTTTTTGCTATTTCAAAAATGCCCTTAACCATGTAAAATAATAGAAGCCGTTGTTTACTCATTCAATGAAAAGATTGAATTTTAATGTTTGAATTAAAATTTTAAATAATTTATGACTGAAGGCATTAAAAGAAAATTTTTAAAAAATTATTTTAAAAATTTATCATCAAATTATGCATTTCCTTTTTTAACACAGACGAGGCCTTTTAATTTATTTATTTTTTAGAAATACAATAAATCTAACATTAGAAATCTTCTTCCAATTGAGTTTTGAATCAATCGTTTTTTTAATTATTTGTACCATTTTTCAAAATAAGAATTAAACTTTTGTAATTAGAATTACATTCAAATTTTAGTGGTTATCCAAAATCTATTAGTTTTCCGTTTAAACATATTTGAAAAAAAATAGTAGCTATCCTAATTGTTGTCAATTTTTATATTTAAATTGTGTAGTAATTAGGCAATTTTTTTAAGTGTGAAAATGATTTAATTTTTCAAAAATATAAATAAATAATGATATTTTAATGACTTATTTAGTTTTTTGTTTACCAAATTATGAATTCTACAAAAGATTTCTCTATTTAACTTGAATTAAATTATAATATTTGCCTAATTTGTAAAATATCAAATTTTCCTTTTTTTATATAAAGTGGTATATCATAAGGGCAATTTAGTCATTTAACAAGCCCTTAACTGTCCATTGACAGAATTGGGGCAATGTGATAATTTTGTAATAATGTTGGAGTTTTTAGAAATAGGTTGGAGTTTTACAATAATAAATTGAAAGTAGTTGAGGTTTTATGATTTTAGCCCAAATAAAAATTGATAGCACATGGTTGACACATGTTCTTGCAGGGATAGTTTTGTCACTAAAATTTGATTGTTCAATGCATGCGAAGACCACGCGCTAGGTTAACATCCCAAACTAACATAATTGGAACAAAGTGATGATTTTGTAATACTGTTAGAACGTTTGCAAAGTTTTATGATAAAAAATTATAATATTGAGGGTTTTATTAATTAGACAATTCGACCTGATTTATGTTATTAATGTCATCGATTCCTCACATAAATTAGGTCAAATTATCTTAAAATAATTGTTCACATTAATAACATTTGATCCAAAATCTTTAATCCAGCAATCTAAAAACTTCATGTAAAGTTTGTTGTCATCTTTATATCATCATGTCTTGTGAAAAGAGATGCACATGAACGCAAAGTGTTTAATTATATGCTACATAATATAATGGGATTCTTACTATTTCAAGAAATTAAAATACATCACATCTGCACTTATAATGTTGTTAAATTTGTGATTACTGACATTTCGATTAATATTTCAAACCATTTCATCAAATGATTAGGAAAAGAAAGAAAGAATCGAATTAACATTCAAATATACACTCCATTTTTTCGGAAAATCAATATCTCGTTGCCTCTCTTTATGTACACTCCATAATTCAAATGCTCATATTACCATAAGCTGAGGATAACCAAACGGCGGGTGGGGAGATAACGGCGTTAAAGGAGGAAAGGTAAAGCTACCGTTGACATTTTGATCCCAAACGCACGTCCAATTAGACGGCGTTAGCGGACTAATTTGGTCAGATTCCGGCGATCGTTCCTTCTTCAACGGCTTGTGCTCCGCCTCTGCTTGGTCGTCTCTCTGTCTTTTCCGGCCTCCATCCACGGCGGCGACTGTTTCACACCACTTCCCGACCTCGAGTGGAAAGTTGAGAATAGCTTTGCTTCCACGCAGCTTGAATGCGGCTCTATCGTAAGCTTTGCCAGCTTCAATGGCGGTGTCAAACGTGCCGAGCCAAACCCTGGATCCGCGACGGTTAGGATCTCGGATCTCTGCCGAGAACTTGCCCCACGGCCTTCTCCGGACCCCTCTGTAATGTGCCCTCTCCTCTGTATTCAATGGTTTCTTTACAGACACCACTGTCGATGGCAGAGTCGACTCGGCCAATTCCACAACCTCAAATTTCTTCACCTGAGGCACATCGATCTCCAATGATGGTTTGCGATCGTTGAATCTCAACTCAAAATCCGATTCAAAGTCCAAAAGTTGCGACTTTGGACTCGTGAGATCGATTATTTGATGTTTCGATTCGAATTCAAAGAAATATTTTTCAATTTGATCGAAAGTGATCGAATTGGGGATAAAATCGAATAAATCACTGGTACCAACTTCATCACAGCTTGAGGTCTGTGAACAGAGTGATTCAGATACAGAGCTCGAAAGATCAAAATTAGGGCTACTGGTGCGATCCTGATTGGAGAAAATCGAGCTAAAGTCGATCGAGTCGGAGACGAAGCTCGAACTGTCGACGGGAGAGAATTCGCCGAGAAGGTGTTCTCTGATGAATTCAAGAGCTGAGATTTCTTCGTGTGTCGCCATTGTCAAAGATCTCAAAGTTTCAGATAAGAAATGTGGAGAGAGAAATAGTAGAGTGAGTTGTAGACTGAAGCTGAATTGTTCCGAAAACTAGAGAGAGAGAGTTTGAAATGGGAGAGGTCTGAGAGTGGAAGGAGGAGTGGAAAGGTATATATAGAGAGAGAAAGAGAGAGAGAGGATTGTGTCTTTTCGGAGGATGGTCGTTCGATGCTAGAAGGAAGGTTCGTCTCCTGGCAAAGTTTCGATCACCTGTAGTTGAGGGGTAGTTATTCCATTGAATTTTAACCGTTGGATAATACTCTAGATTTGAAATTTTTCATAGACGTTTGGAACTCAAAATAACTTTTATTAGTCACGTTGTGTTTCTTTGATTTAAATACGGAGTAATCTATAATGTATACAATAATGTATTTCGATGATACTTCCAAACAGTGCACGTTTGGATAACACGATATAGTATATTATATATACAGATCACCATGACACCACGTGTGTGAGCGTATTTATTTATTAGTATTACTTTTTTTTTTTTTTTTTTTAAGTACTTTATTATTTTGAACCAAAGTTTTAAGAAAGTTGTTTACAATAGTCTCTTCATGTTCTTTATTATTTATATACTAATCATATTTATGTAATGGACATAATTTTGAATTTGTAAAAATTAGAAGATGAATTAGTAGTTAGTATTTTCTTTCTTACTAGCTTCAAAATTGAATGATCTTGCCATTATCTAATAGCCTAAAGCGCTCTGAGTCTCTGACAGTCTCTTCTTCGTACTTGGCATCCTTCAAATTCAAAGAGTGCATTATATTTTTTTGGTGAAATATTAGCTCGGTATTTCTTGTTTTCAATATTACAATTAAATCTAAAAAAGCATAAGTTGGCATTGATGTATGTATGTACCTATTTTTTCGATAATGGTTGAATCGTCAAAGTATTTGGGATATTTCACTAAAACAATATGAAGAATGCAAATAGTGGATTGAGGGAGAGAAAACTAGCTTAGTCTGAGGACTGAAACAATGGTAGAGAAGACCTAGTCTGGAGTATGTGGTCTGAGCCGTGAAATTCTTATCCTCCTTTCTTTTTTCGTTACTTCCTTTTTATATCCTTAAGTCATTCAGGTGGTATTCGTTGGGCTCCCGATTAGATGGGTCAGGGCCCATATCCCTTTATGGATCATGTTGCCTTAATCCCTATTGTTTCAGTTCTGCCGCTAAGTATACGCTTCTCCTTGAATGACCCAAATGGGGCTAGCTGTAAAGGTGCTAATTTTTTATCCTTCATTTCAAAGTCCCTTTAGTATTCCCTCTGGCCCCGAAAAGTCCTACCATTACTCTTCATTTGCTCCTTTTACTTAGGAGCGTGGTTTGGTCAAATCAGGGTTCTGGGCCTGTCAATTGACAATTTGTGACTTGGCTGGATCGAGATTCAAGGTCCGTCGATCGATAATTTGTGGCTTGATCGGATTGAGATTCAAGACCCGTCAATTGATAATTTGTGATTTAATCGGATTGAGATTCATTAATTAATATAGTATAGTAAGAGAAACGAAATGTAGAAAAATTAACTGAACAAGTCACGAAAAGACTATTATTGAAAGTGAATGAAATGACCACCACGATTTGAATATTTGCTTATTCAAATGAAAAATTCTTAGAATGGAACTGAAATTTCATACGTATTTAATGGATTAAAGGATTGATCTTTTCAACCTGGACTTAGGAGTCTGATTGATGGACTACGAAGTAATGGTGGATTAATTCAAATGGCCCAGTCAACGACTCAACATACTACCAAGTCACCCTTAAACAGTAAAACTATAGGTCAGGTTTCCTTTTCTTCAAATTGTAAAGTTTTTGCAAATCAGAACAAGAATTAGAATGGACCAATGCAATTCAAACTATTAGTCAAATCACTTTCACATAATTATCCATATATTAAATTCAAAGTATAAAGAGTAATGATTTTTTTCTTTTTATAGAGAAGTATCTCACATCGCACGGATGTAACTAATTTACTTTAGGAAAATAAAGAATAATGATAGAGTATCTTATAATTGAACAAATCCAATTAATTTTATATGAGTTAAAAATGATGTTATTGTGACCACATTAATATTAATAAGGGCTTAAATCATAAAACTCTCAATACTATTATTTTTTTATCATAAAATTCCAATTTATTTGTAAAAATCCTAAGAGCATTACAAAATCATCACTTTGTCCCAATTCAGTCAATGACCGATAAAGGCTTGTTAAATTACTAAAGTCCCCTTATGATATACCACTTTATTTATAAAAACAAAAATTCATATCTTACAAATTACAACATTATCTTCTTACACAAAACAAATAAAAATAAAAAGGTTTGGGCTAAAATCATAAAACCCTCAATAATTTCAATTTTTGATTATAAAATTACAATCTGTTTCTACAAAACCCCAATACTATTACAAAGTTATCACATTGTCCCAATTCTGTCAGTTTGGGGCATTAAAGTACTCACTTGCATTGACTAAATATTTTTAGTGACAGAATTACCCCTACAAAAACATATGTCGAGCATGTGCTGTTACATTTTTTTTGTTATTTCAAAATTGCCCTTAAGCATATTGAATAATAGAAGCGACTCTTTACTCATCCACTGAAAAGATTGAATTTTAATGTTTGAATTAAAATTTTAAATAATTTATGACCGGAGGCATTAAAAGAATATATAAAAAATTTACCATCAAATTACGCATTTTCTTTTTAAACACAGATGATGTCTTTTAATTAATTTATTTTTTAGGCATACAATAAATCTAAATTGGAAATCTTCTTCCAATTGAGTTTTGAATCAATCGTTTTTTTTTTTTTTTTTTATATCATTTTTCAAAATAAGAATTAAAATTTTGTAATTAGAATTTTATTCAAAATTTAGTGGTTATCCAAAAAGTATTAGTTTGCCATATAAACGTATTTGAAAAAAATTATTAGCTATCCTAATTGTTGTTAATTTTTATATTTAAATTATGTAGTAATTAGTCAATTTCTTTGAAGTGTGAAAATGATTCAATTTTTCAAAAATATAAAATATATAATGATATTTTAATGACTTATTTAGTGTTTTTGTTTACCTATGAATTCTACAAAAGATTTTTTTATTTAACTTGAACTAAATTATAATATTTGCCTAATTTGTAAAATATCGATTTTTCCTTTTTTAAATAAAGCAGTATATCAAAAGGGTAATTTAGTCATTTAACAAGCCTTTAACGGTTCATTGACATAATTGGGGTAACTTTGTAATAGTGTTGAAGTTTTTAGAAACATGTTGAAGTTTTATGATAAAAAATTGAAATTAATGGGATTTTTATGATTTTAGTCCAAATAAAAATTGACAGCAGTTGACACATGTTCTTACAGGGGTAGTTTTGTCACATTGTGCACATTAATAATTGTGATGAAGAAGTATAAGCAAGACATAATCAAAGTATTTGATCTAAAATCTGTAATCCAACTATCTAAAAACTTCATGTATAAGTTTGTTGTCATCTTAGCATTTGGGACAGTAGACAAAGTAGATAATATTTGCGAAAAGTAGAGAGAGAGAGGGGCGGTGTGCAGCTTACAATCAATGCGCTTTTTGTGGCCTCCACATGAGATTGTCTATTGCCTTCTTTGCAGATAGAATATTGTTTGGAGAACCGCCATTCAGTTTTTTGAATCTAAATTATAATTGGATTGCGGTGGTAATTCGAAATTATGAGATTGGTTGAAATGGGGGTTATAGAATGGAGGTTGAGGATCCATAGAGATGAATGTTTAAAAAAAAATATTGAGAGAGGAATTATTGAAGATGAAATTTAGTATTTATAGGCTAAAAATATAACTGTTTTATTACCGTTTGAATGTAATTGACCGTTTGGAAGTAATTGAGCCATTGAAGTTGCCTTTTGTTTTTTTGCCTTCTACTAGATTCTTTAAACAAAGAAAAAAAAAGATGGATTATTCTCCAAAAGCAACTCTATTCGTGGATAATGGTATAAATAGTGAGTGTAGGTCCCACAAAAAAAACAATCTATTTCTTTCACCATATCGCCCCTTTCTCTCTCTAAATTGACACATTATCACTCTACATTTACTGGGCCTGGATGCTCTTAGCTATAGCCAGTGGATAGCCCACCTTTGGAATTTAAGTTTTGAATTAAATTAATTTAATAATAAATAGATAATGAGATATTGATATTGCATACAGTAAAACAATTTTCATTAAAAAAAATAGAATACCATGTAATTATTTTTGATTAAATAATGGTTATTTGGTACTCTACTTTAAAAATAAATAAATAGACAAGGTGTATGATACATACCCAATGCTCTTATATCATCATCTTTTAAAAATAAATAAATAGACAAGATGTATGATACATACCCGATGCTCTTATATCATCATCTTTTATTTTTTTTTATTTTTGAAAGGTAAACATCTTGATGTATTGTGAAAAGACATGCAGATGAACACGGTGTTTAATTATATGCTACATGGAATAATGGGATTCTTAGTATTCCATGAAATTAAAATACATCACGTCTGCACGTACGATGTGGCTAAATTTGTGATTGCTGACATTTCAATTAATATTTCAAACCAATTCATAGATGAGGAGGCCCTGGATGACATGGGCCAGGTCCGACTCGCAAAACACAACCTTCAGTCCGAACAGCTGGGTCAGCCCATAAAAAGACACTGCCATATGGGCCGAGCGGGAGTAAGCCCATCAAGAGTGACCAGGGCTTACTGAGGAATAGGCCCAGGTCCAGCAATTAGTAAATATCTTGTAAATATCTTGTAAATATCTATAAATAGGAGTTGGAATGAAGAGGAGGAGGATCTTGATTCGGGTTGAGGTGTAAGAATTCTAGAGAGAGAAAGAATAGAAGGAGTTTCTTGCATCTTCAATTGGCGCCGTCTGTGGGAAACGCATAAAAGTTTGGTTGATCAATGAGGAGGATCGAATGGATTCAAACCAATTCGGTTGATCGAGACTCGATCTTGCGGATTTGAATCCAGATCTGAGCGATTGTGACCTACTCTGGAGGAATTACGATTCTTGAAGCTTTGGCAGGAGTGACTTCAGATCTACGCAACCGCGAGTTGCTCGATTGTGACAGGATCTGACGGATTTAGAGTCCAGG